CAATTGTTTGGGGTTCTTTGAAGAAAAGTTGAGGTTTTCAGATGAACTGCAATCTCATAGATTATCACTAAGCAAGCTACTATCTTTTATAGTGACAAGAAGTTACATGTCTTGAAAGAATGCTGAAAATGGAAAATACCATATTTTTCCATGTAAAAGACTATACTTTTTCCTAAAATAATTGGAGGAAAAATTGAGCCACTAGATGTTTCAATCAACAAGCCATTTAAAGTCCTGATGAGAGAAGAATGCAATAGGTAACTTGACACCAACAAGAATAATGAAAAAACCAACCATTACTGAGGTTAGCAATTGGGTTCTAAACTCATGGTATGGTGTCAAAAAACAGGAGATTGTGAAGTCCTTCAGGAAATGTGGAACCAGCAATGCCATGAATGGAACTGAGGATGATCTCATATATATAGACAGTGACTCAGAAGACTTCAGTGATGCAACAGAAATTGAAGAAACTGATATGTTTGAAACTACTAATAGTGATGAAGAAGAAAGCAGTGCTGTAAACAGAAGCTGAATGAAGTGATTTGCTCAGCTAAGAGTGATGCATAATATAGTACTGACTTGTAAATGTTGCCTAATTACTAAATAAAAATAAAAATGTGTTCATTTCTAATGTTTAAAATACTGATTTCTGAATATTTTGTTAGAAAATTGGGGGCATCTTATAAATTATACACAGAAAAATATGGTAAATATTATAAAGCATATAACACAGAACTGCATGATACAGTACTAATGAATCAATAGGATACAGTAGAATGCTGTTATCTGTGGGATGAGTATCCACTGATTCACTTACCCACAGATCTTGCTATGTATAGCATTCTGTGTTTTTCAGCAACCGGTGGGGGGGGGAGCTTGGAACTGATCCCTGCAGGTACAGGGGTCCTACCGTACTACAGAATCATACTTAAGAACAATATAAGCTATTTTAGTAATTACTGTTCACTTAGGAGAATTAGAAATGTATATAGGTCAAAATTACAAGTCTACAGTACAGTGGTGCCTCGACTTACGACCATAATCCGTTCCAGAAGATGGATGTAACTCGAAACAGTCATAAGTCGAAGCACAATTTCCCATAGGAATGCACTGAAATGTAATTAATCTGTTCCGGTTGAAGGAAAACAATCACACAAAAAAACCACTGCCAGACTCATTGGAAACGCGATTAATCACTTCCGACTGAAAAGCAATCCAGCGTGCAAGACCCACTGGAAATGCACAGAGAACAAAGGGGGCAGGTAGGAAATGCAAAGAAAACAAAGAAAAAAGCAAGGAAAGCATGCAGGACCCATCGGAAATGGGTGGGGAATCCAAAAGCAACAAAATCCCCAAGACCTATCAGAAATGGGGGGGAAGCGAACAAACAAACAAACCCCCAAGACCCATCGGAAATGGGGGAACCCCCCCAAAAAATCAACCAAACCCTCCAAAACCCATCGGATATGCGGGGAACCCAAAAAGCAACAAAAAACCCCAAGACCCATAGGAAATAGGGGAAAAAACCCAAAAAACAAACAAATCTCCCAAGACCCATCACAACACAGAAACATAACCCCCCCAGCTCAAAACCACAATGCAAAAACACCCGGAACAGTTTTTAAAAAGCAAAAAATACAACCTTACCTTACCAGGCAGCCTGAAGCCTCCCTGCAAAAACACACACACACACACACACACACACACACACACACACACACACACTCAGTCAGTCAGTCAGAAGCAGAAGTGAGGCAGTCCAAAGCCTCCTCCGACCCACACTCTCTAACTGCTGGGGCGAAAGAGCTACAAAGAAGCAGCCTTGTCGCCACCTACTGTTAGCTATTTGAATTTCCCGCCTTTTTCCCCTGCCTTTTTCTGTTCGTAAGTAGACGCTCCTGTCGCAAGTAGAAGCAAAATTTTGCAGCCGGAGCTGGTCATAACTCAAAGTGGTTGTAAGTCGGGATGTTAGTAAGTCAAGGCACCACTGTATCGTTAAGAAGTAAGGAATTACAGCAATACACTGGAATGTCACAGTAATGTCACAGTAATGCTTAAATCCTATTTTAATTTCTATTCACATATACATCATTTTAAAAGGGAGGCTAACTTTGAACAAAACACAATTGTATGGTAGTTGGAGCATTCTTTGGCTCTGCCCTTCTTTGGGATTGGGATGTAGACTGATCGTTTCCAATCCTCTCGCCACTGCTGAGTTTTCCAAACTTGCTGGCCTATTGAGTGTAGCACCTTAACAATGTCATCTTTTAAGATTTTAAATAGTTCAACAGGAATCACCTGCACTGGCCTTGTTGTTAGCCATGCTTTCTAAGGCCCACTTGACTTCGCTCTCCAGGATGTCTGGCCCAAGATCACCAACCACACTATCTGGGTTGTCCGGGACATCCAGATCTTATTGGTATAATTCCTCTGTGTATTCTTGCCACCCCTTCTTGATGTCTTCTGTTTCTGTTAAGTCTCTACTATTTTTGCCCTTTATCATGTCCATCTTTGCACAAAATGTTCCTTTAATATCTCCAATTTTCTTGAACAGATTTCTGGTTTTTCCTTTTCTACTATTTTCCTCTATATCTTTGCAGTGTTAAACCCCATAATAATGCTTAATTACTGAGGGTTAAAAAAAGAAGAAGGAAAGAGGGAAAGAGAGAGAGAGAGAGAGAGAGAGAGAAAGCACATTTCCATACAATTAATTCATCAAGTCCATTGAACCCTCCTAGTGGAAGCACTGTGCACTAATCAGAAGTAGAGACGGGGTATATGAATATCCCTGTATAGGTGGACATAACGAGGGTCAAGGCCCCTGGGGCCAGACCAGCCACTGACCTTCCGCTGTTCCTGCAGGCTCTGGGCTCCTTTCCTATTGCTCCGGAGCTCACAATCTGTGAGCCACTCCTGGAAGGAGGCAGGAGGACGAGCCTCACAGCAAGGCTGAAGAATGGCTGGCAGACTGCGAGTTCTGGAGCAATAGGAAGGGAGTACAGAGCCTGTGGCAACAGCGGAAGGTGAGTGGATGGTCCGGTCCCAGGGGGCTGGACCCTCCTTACGTCCACCTGTGCAGGAGCATTTGTATACAAATACCCCCATCTCTAATCAGAAGAAGAAATCTCCTGACCAACAACACTAATTCCAGCCAGTACCAAGGTACTGTACCTACATCATGGTTGTGACCTTTATGTGAACAGAGTACAAGCCTGAAGTCAAAGAGAGGACGACTCCAAATGCAGTACAAAGTTGATAGGACAATGTTTCTGGAAGTAGTGCTTTGACATCTACAGGAATGTAATGATTCCATGTAAACAGGCTAACAATTGGGCCCAGCTTTCTCTCTCTAAGCAAGAAAGGAAAGAACCACATGGATCTGGAAAAAAAACTCAGGGAAAACTTTCTCATAAGTTTATGACTGAAGCAAACATGATAGTTCATTGATAACTCCCACTCCAGAGGGTGGGGGTGATATACAATGAATACCCTTACTCAATAGGCCTTACTGATACAACATTCAATCCCTTTCAGTACTCATTACTAGGAAGAGGTCTCTCAACTTTTAATATTGTTTTTTTACCAGTTGTGCATTCAATAAAACACCCCCCAATACACACACAAAATCTTATTTCTTGGTAGAACAACCTACTGCTCTGTTCTTTAAAACGGCTCCCTTTTTCAAATATTTGAATAAAATGTTGTTTTTAAATAACATGATACATACACACTTACTTCAGTCTTGCTGTAGCCATAGAAACTCACGTTTGATTAGAAATATTTAGAAGGACAAGGTTGTACAGCATGTCACAAAAATATTATGCAACAACTATAACTCAGAACAGTTTTTAAATACAAAAACCTAATCATTTTTCAGCTTGAAAGTATCTGACATGAGCCATAGTGTCTTGTTTCATGACCAGAGACCTTCACTTGTAACTAACGTTGCTTACTCCTCAGACCACATACACAAGATGGCACTGTAAATGCATGTAGATCAATGGGGTTTATTTACTGTGTTTCCCCAAAAAATAAGACAGGGTCTTATATTAATTTTTGCTCCAGAAAACGCATTAGAGCTTATTTTCAGGGGATTTTTTCCATTTATTCAAATATTCCATTTATTCAAATATAGTCACGCCATCTTCTTCTGGTTGCTGCACAATGATGGAGGGCGGGGTTTCACTTAACTGGGGCTTATTTTGGGGGTAGGGTTTATATTACGAGCATCCTGAAGATCATACTAGGGCTTATTTTCAGATTAGGTCTTATTTGGGGGAAAACAGGGGTAATAAGAGTATTAAATAACTTTGTAAGGCGGAGAAGCAGAAAGGAAGTTTAGAGAAGCTTTCGGTAATTTTTGCTATAAGTTTTGGATCTACTGCAATACTGACGAGAATACGCGGGGACTGGGGGAGGGAAAGGACTGGGTTGGCAAGTTGCGACATAAACACGTACTGTAGTGTTGTAAAACAGTTGGCGGTTGTGAGAACTCGATGACTAGTAGCGCAAGCCTCCACGTACTTATTCAGATGTAAGTTCTACCGAGTCCCGTGAGATTTACTCTCAGGAAAAGTGTGTAACTGACCACAACCCAACCGACGTATATCGTGTGCAGGACCTAAGCCAATGCAAATTGTCGCCTAACGTCCAAACAAATTAAGAAATAGCTGGGCGAGGATTGTACCGATAGCCAAGAGGGGACTGGCGTGGCATCTTGGAAACCAACACCTTGTGACAGAGGGCAAGCTTCGTAGACAGGCGCCCACTTCATCAAAGGGGCGCGGAATCCTGTTCCCGAAAGCCTCTCCTCCAATTATACACCCCCACAGCTCCACCCCAGTCAGTCGTAAACTTCCTCCTCTCCTTCTTTTTTTAATGCTGGTTTGAGGACAACCTGGACTCCACAGGCGAAGAGGCAAACCGGGGGGTTAAAAAGAGAGAAGTGTGGCGCGAGAGAGCACGACGCCGTCGCGTTGTCCGTTTCCGACGTCACTTACCAGGTAGGCCGAGCCCCGCTCCTCACGGTGCCTTGGTAGCCCCGGAGACCAACGGAGCGTCTGTAACAACGGCCCGGAACAGCCGTTGACTCAAACATCCGGGGGAGGAGCTCGAGCTCCTCTTTGGCCTGAAGCTCGGCGCGCGCCAAAGAGGCGGAGGGAGGGGGGCCGGGCAGGCGGCGGCGAGGCGACGTGAGGGGCGTTCTACGGAGCCGGCCGCGTAGAGGTACCTGAGGTAACGCGCGCTCGCGCGCCTTATGAAGGGAGCGGCGGCGGGGCGGGGGGGAAGAGGTGACAGGCTATTGTGGTGCCGTGAGGGTGGCTCTTCTTCCACACGAGCGCTTCGTTTTGAACAGGCTAAGCGGGCTTCTTCGTCCCTCCACTGAACCTTCCCGCGCTCCCCCCCCTCCGGTGGAATTTTGCTAGGCAACCAATCAAGCTCCCGTATTCTTCTTCTGAAGGGGTGTCGAATAGAGGACAATTTGTAAAACTTTTTTTTTCAAAAGAGACTCCGGTTCATCTGGTACATCTCGGAGCCCGCGTCCCTCTTTTCCCTGCTTCCCTCCCTCCCCGTCCCGGAGGAGCGCGCGCTTAGCACTCCGCTAGCGGCGTAGCAGGATGCGCAATCCCCGTACATCTAGGATGGCTTGCTGAGTGTTTCGCGGCATGTTCCCAAGTAGTTCATTGCACAGTGATCTTTTGCTTTTTGTAGGAGCTTCTGAACGCTTGGCTCGGGTTGAGGAGAGCGGGCCCGTGAACGGCAGCCTCGTCAGCTGCTAAGCCCCCGACTCGCTGGCTGATCTAAAGTGTATTTCCTCGGAAGTGGGAGTGAGAAGCGCTTAGATTGAGTGGGGAAGGGGCGTTTTCCTGCAACAAGGATTAAAAGCTCCGTTTTGTTGTGTACGCTGCTTTGAATCTCGTCTTAAATTAAATCAAGCGTGAGTCGCCTTAATTTTAAGAGATCTAGTGACTCCTTTAACAATAATCTTTGATTGTGGAAAGATGATTGGTTATGCATGGCATGGCTGGTTCAGATGACTTCATAAGAGTTACTGGAGAAGTGCATAAATGTTTGTATGACTTGGGACTATAAGCAGCGTTTAATTTTGTAATGTTTATTGTTGCATATCTCATTTTTAAACAGATGGAAAGTGGAATCCAGAAGCACAAGATAATTCAACTAACAGGGTTTAAGAACCAGGAAAAAAAGACCCTAGTTGAATTGCTTTTGAAACTAGACTGTGTTTTCTTAGACACTGAGGTAAATGATAATACAAATGCATTATGTGTACCTAGGTTTATGATCTAGAATACTATCGAGCATATGGTATTCATGTAATTAATATGAGATGCATATAGTACTTCCGCAAGAGAATTCCTGACTTGAAGCAAAATTCACTTTTGTAGTTTATGTTTTAAAGTGTGTGTACTTTTTAGTGACACATATATTCCTTCTTTGTTGTTAGCAATACAGAAATTGCACTCACCTTATAGCAAAGCGAGCTTGTAAGAGTGAAAAGTTCTTAGCAGCCTGTGCAGCAGGTAAGTATAATATGCCCTACCTTCATTCTTTCAAGATGGCGCAGGGACAAAACTGCCATTAAAGCTTAAAAAAGGACAGTATAGACTTGCCTTTAAATTACTACTGTACTGTATTTGATAAGACAAATGGTCAGTGGGAATGCAGTAGCTGATTTATATTTAAGCAATCACAGTTAAACATGGAATGTAAGCATATGACACTCCATATTTGAAGTTGAAAAGTTCAGCAATCTCTTCCATTTCCAGAGAAAATGGAGAAGACAAATGTAATGCTCAGTATGCATTTAGCATTGCACTCAATACATCCTGGAATCCAGAAGTTTCAAAGAAAGTTGATGTGCATGTTCAGGAGGAAAAAAAATCCATAACGAACCCATAGCTCAACCACAATATCTGTTTCAAGAGGGTGGAAATATTTGAGGATTCTTGTACACTCTGTTTTATTCATAATTGGTAGGTGACATAACATAATTTTTTCATTGAAAACATACTGTGTGTCTGAGTGCATGTTTTCACCCTGTTCCCAAATCAGCCTAGAGAACAAGCCCACAAGAATTATTACCTCTATATAGAATGTAAGTTTACCAAACAAGACGCTTAGTGTGTAGGCATCCTTCAGTCTCAAAAGACTATGGTAACGTGCTCTGTATGGAGGACTTGGAACAGCGTCTGGTGTGGCTGAGGAGGCCAATTCGAGAGTTGCAATCTCTTCCACACTGAAGACAAATCCAATCTGTCCCCTGTCCAGCTCCCTGGTTTTGCTGCTTTTGTGACTTCCTCTTTGCCTTAGCCTGCTGGACAAGGGTCTCTTCAAATTGGGAGAGGCTGTGATGTAACGCCTGCCTCCAGGCTGAACGCTCAGATGTCAGAGTTTCCCATCTGTTGAGGCCTATTCCTAAGGCCTTCAGATCCCGCTTGCAGATATCCTTGTATCGCATACTCTTAGTATGAGATGTCCAAGAACCCGACTGGCAAAACACCCCAAGATACTTAAGTAAAATACAAGTTCTAATATCCTCCCATCTGTTATCCATGGTGGGGTGAGACCTTATGTTAAACAGCACAATCTTGGTTTTCTCATAATTTACATTGAAGATATTTCTTTTAGTATACATACTGAATTGTTTGAGCAATCTTCTAAGGCCTGTTTGTTTGCAATCTACTAGAACTGTATCATCTGCATAATGTATTATTGAAATGACTTTTCCACCTACTCTGGGAAGAACTGCAATCCTGTCATTCATTTGTATATAAGTTGGAGAGCACATCCAGCCAGCCCGGCGTTTTTATCTGGCCCTTCCAGACGGGTGTGAGTGTAGGAGGACGGGTAGGTAGGTGGGTGTTACTTCGTGCCTGAAAAAAATTGCAAATATATTATTTGGCCTACCACGTGAAAAGTTTGGAGACCCTGTGTTAGACAGTAGACTTCAAGTGTCGAGTCTGACCTGTAAAGAAATATGAATATGCAAATCTTTAATTCTCTCTAATAATCAGAGATGTGGTATCCACAGTTTCACTTATCCATAGTCTGAAAATATATTAGGAGAAAAAACTAGAAATATATATTTTCATGATGTATTTACTACAACTGGCCACTAGAGGGAGCCAAATACCATACTATGTTTTAATCAAAAACAACACTTTTTTCTGGAGTGTCATTCACCATTTTCCGTGGTTTTCAGCATCTGCAGGGGGGCTTGGAAACCAATCCCCACAGGTACAGGACATCTACTTAAGTTCATCAGTTTTGTCCATAAACAATTGTTGGAATAAAATATGTGGCTTGAAGTTCAATAAAAGCAACATATAACTTGTCAGAAAATCTTTAGTATATTTATTGATTAGATGTTGTAATCAACAAACATTGTTCAAAGTAGAATGCCTGGCTCTTAGCAGCTATAAATTGTTTTCATCCACCTATACCTCTTTTTTTTTTCACTAGCAGTAGCTGGTCACCACCTTGATTAAAGTTTGAGAAATATCTTGAGAAGTTGGTTTTTGAGTGGGTTCCCGCTGGTGGGGGCAGGGTGCCAAACTGTTGAACACCTGTTGCAGGGGTAAATAAACCAGAATGAACTGCCAAATCAGCAGTTTGTGTCCACCTTTAAATAATAGCAGTCTCTCCTTGCTGTTTTCCCAGCAGTCGACAAAATCTCACCAAGTTCTTCTGAGTCAAGACCAAAGCAAGTTCCTGACATCATTGTTTTATTGAGGCTAATTTTTCTTTTTAAGGAGGTGTTTGTAGTTATTATGTGTACAAAAGACCTTTGTAATCTCTTAGATAGATTTTGTTTTATAAGTTTGTTCTAACTTCACAGCATATATAGTCATATGAAAAATAAAGTACACCCTCTTTGAATTCTATGCTTTTATGTATCAGGATGTAATACAAAATAATGGCCTTGTAACCCTTCCTGGACGGATGGGCAGCAACAGTTGCTTCTCTACAATCGTTGCTGATGTGTTTCCTCCTTAGCATTGTGTTAACACACACCTGAATGCTCCAAACCACCAAACTGCTAAAACTTTGGTTTTTATAAAGGTGGTCACACTTGCTGTTGATCATACTCAAGGACATTTGGTTAGCAGCATCCAGCTGCTGCTTAGCCTCTTAATTCCTTGTTAAATACATCATGAGACGGTGTAAAATGTCATGTGTTGTTTTTCATTTGGTCCTTAGCATGTCAATTTTCAGACCTGCTAAGGACCAAATTATTTTTATTATGTCCTGATACATAAAACCATAGCATTCAAAGAGGATGTACTTTTTCACATGACTGTACACACAGTGGTGAGGAAAGCACTAATGCTGGTGACAAAGGTATAGTATTTATACTGTAGCTATGTTTCCTAGCATTATATTGCAATTGGTGGTGGTGCCAATAATGAGAAATGTCAATGCAAGTTTTAAAAATAATCCCCTTATTTCATAAGTTTTAAAGACATGAAAATATGCATTTTGATAGTGGGGAACAGTGAATGTACCGATTCTGAGGAAGACTAGATTGCTTAATTACAGTGGTGCCTCGCTTAACGGGTGCCCCGTTTAACGATGAATCCGCATAGGGACAATTTTTTGCGATCGCATTGCGATGTTCCTAATGGGAAAATACCGCTTTGTGATGATCGGTAAGCTGTTTTGCTTACCGATTTTTGCATAGCGATGATTTCCCAACAGCTGATCGGCGGTTCCAAAATGGCCGGCAGGTAAAAAAAAATGGCTGCCTACTGTGTTTTCGCCCAGATTCCTCGCTTACCGGGCAGCAAAAATGGCGGCCGTATGGAGGATTTTCGCTTAAAGGTGAGTTTTTTGCCCATAGGAATGCATTAAACGGGTTTTAATGCATTCCTATGGGTTTTTTTTTTCACCTAGCGACGAATCCGTATAGCGACAATTTTTCCTGCACGGATTATCGTTGCTATGCGGGGCACCACTGCATTTATATTACAGTGATCAGAATCCTATTGCAGATTTACTGCCGCATAAGGGAAATCACACAAGTCTTGGTGGCAAATTGTGGCTCATCAGTGAGGTGCTGTTTTTGTTTCAGTGCCAATACCCAATGGACAGTAGGATTCTTGCCAGTGTATCTGTAGGCCAACACCTCTTCTCTATAATGTGTCCATAGGAGCTAACATAGAATATCAAGTTATATAGGACTTATCTTTATCTACCAGAATAAAAGGCAAACATGTTTGCATCAAGTGTGTTGCGGGTGTTTTCTGAGCTGTGAAGGTGGCCCAGAAGCGAGTGCCGTCCCAAGAGGATGAAAGAAAAGAGGGTGGGGAAAAACCCGAGAGTGGAGAAGAACAGGCGGACCAATGGGAGAACGTAGCTGCAGAGAGGGAGACAGCAGAATGAGGCGGGGAATTTGAAGTGAATTTAGTGGAAGAGTGCAGGAGTAAGAAAGGGGAGGAGCAGGAACTGTCAGTTTGAGAGGAGAGTATAAGTAGTCAGGGAGAGCGGCAGTTTGAAGTAGAGCTGGAGTTATGGAAACGGAAAAGGGAGCTGGCGAGGTTGAGAGAGTGAAGACACAGGAGTTGCTGAGAGATTTCCCCAACCTAAAGTTAGGCGAGCTGCTACCAGATCCCATTCCGAAAGAAGGAGGAGAGGTAAAATATGAGACGTTAGAGTGGTCAGTTATCGTTTTCCCCAAGAATAAAGGGAGAGGCCAGCAGGTAATTAGACCAGATTCACGATACAATACCCCCCTCCCGAAAGAGATTGGGCTCGGCACCCATGCTGTGGCACCATCTGTGCAGTGCTGACCGCGCCCCTTCGGAAGCCAACCGATGTGGAGAAGTTTGGCCCAGCACGCCTGTGAGTTCAATGGATGGTGTTCGGGACTGTGTGTTGGATAGTTATGGCACGTTGCCTGAGTTAAGCTTTTTTGATCCTATCATGAATAATGTTGATTTGCCTGTAACTAATAATGAAGAAGTTGTTAAAGTTAAGAAGACATCTGTGATATTTCCCACGCAAAGAGGAGTTGTCAAAATTCGAAAATGAACCCATTCACATGAGCCCATGAGAATTTTTGTGTATAGGAAGCTAATATTAGGGTTAGAGTAGGAATGAATTTACTACTGAGAAGCAGAGTATGTCAGTTCTGCTGCCTAGCATCTCAGTTTGCTTAAGGGGGGGGCATTTCTGTCCGAATACATTGCCTGAGTTAAAATTGTACCTCAGTGGTAGAACTGCAGAATATTGCATTACACTAAAAAGGTGTTATATAAATTAATGAAGTAAATAAAAAAATAAATAAAAAGCAGTTTGGAAGGCTTTCACTGAAATCTAGTAATAGTGTTTTTACAACTTTTCAGATAACAATGGCCACAATCTTACTGGGGGATTTACACTAAGGCAATGTGCCTTCTAATTTTCATCTCTTCTAGGCAGGATTCCACCTCTCTTGCACACAACTTTGCTCCTGTTCGTGCGTAACTCTGGGTCCCTACTATATGGTCCTCGCATGCTTTTTCGCTGAGAAATGCAGGATAGTGGTTACTGACAGTACAGTGATGCCTCGCTAGACAGTTACCCTGCATGACAGGTTTTTTTGCTAGAAATTGACTTTTTGCGATCGCTATAGCGATTCGCAAAACAGTGACTCCTATGGGGGAATTTCGGTGGACAATATTTGGCCCCTGCTTCACGAACCGATTTTCCTTAGATGACAATTTTGACAGCTCCCTCCGCACTCGCAAAACAGGTGTTTTCGGGACCTAAGCTTTGCAAGACAGCGATTTAAACAGCTGATTGGTGGTTCACAAAGCGGCTTTCCTATGGCCGATCCTCGCTAGACGACGACGATTCTTCCCCATTGGAACGCATTAAACAGGTCTCAATGCATTCCAATGGGGAAATGCTTTTCGCTAAACAATGATTTCGCTAAACAGCAATTTCAGTGGAACGGATTATCATCTCTAGCGAGGCACCACTGTACCTTTCTTCTTACCTCCTCACCCCTTTTCATCAGATGATTGCTAGCATCCAAAACTAGCACCTATAGAAGTACCATCTGGTACAATGCTGCTGTACAGAAGCACAATCTGCTGTGTGGTGATATAGATTGAGACCAGAATTTTAGTTACTTTAATATGAATATGTCATTGTTCATGTCTATAAAAGGGGCATACTGTTGCTGCTATCAATATGAACTTGGAATGCAATGGAAAAACAGTTTGTGAGAAGGCAAAAATTTGATAACATTTGAAAAATTATATAAAAGCTAACATAATGGACATAGGATGTGTTTCCAATAGATTGGAAATAAGCAGTAACAGATGCCATAAAGTAATCTGTAAAATTCTGTATTATCTGTTATTATATAGTTCTTCAAAATTAGAGGACTCATTGTCCTACAGTTATTCTTTATGGAGTTTGTTGGAAGGTTTATCTTGGGTAATTTCTTCTTCACAGTTTGAAGATTGAGGATACCTTCAAACCGGATATAGGTGGATCTATTGTATTTTCAGCTAAATGCAAATTCTGATTAATCCTAGAGAAATTACCCGAAATATGTCGGCACAGAATAAAAGATATACTTGATTTTTTAAAAGTAGATCCATGAGCAGGAATGTACTAGAACTGGTTTGGCACTATCTTTTGGTCCTTATATGCAGAATCTGTATGGATTTTGAATTCTAGCGTTTAATGTGGAGAGTTCATCACTGAAGAGATGCTTTTTGTGCTTCAGAGTGATTAAGACTGCAGTTGTATGCACAATAAGTCTTATTAGATTCAGTAGGTCTTAATTCTGGCTAGACATGCACAATGCTCCACTGTGAAAGTAATACATAAGCTCTAAATATTAGTGCCAACTAGAATGGTGTATAAAATAATTATCTATCCATATTTTATATTGAATGATTCTTGCTTGTAAATAAGACTATGGTTTTTAACCGTCTGGAAGAGCACATTGATGTTATAGAAAAGGATAGCACTAGTGTTACAGAAATAGTTTAAAATTCCTGCATGCTTAGAGGTTGTTGTTAATTTTGAAGTTTGATCTTAATTTGATTGCCATTTGTCTGCAAAAAAAATTCTTTTGTGGATGACAGTTGATTTGCTTTCCAGGAAAGTGGATACTAACCAAGGACTACATAATTAATAGTGCTGAAAGTGGCAGATGGCTTGATGAAACATCTTACGAATGGGGATATAAAATCGAAAAAGACTCCCATTATTCACTTCAAATGCAATCTGCACCTAAAAGATGGCGTGAAGAGCTGACACGGTCTGGTACTGTAGGGGCCTTCCACAGATGGAAAGTTGTCCTCCTTATTACAAGAGGTCATAAACGAAAGGATTCTTTGATAAGGTAAGATGAGGGTTTAAAACTGAAGTAATGCATAGATTATTTACAGTGATTTTAATGAAAACAGTTTCATGTTTTTTCTCCCTCTTTCTCTGTTCCATTGCCTATCTGCTCTAGTGCTACTTAGAACAGGGTGGGTTTTTTTAAACTTTAAGTTACATTGTGGTATAGGGAAAACTCTGCTGTTGTTAGTGATGTTATGCATTTTGACTAGTCCTTTTATCTGTGCATGAAAGAGAACACTTCCATCCTGTTTCCAAGAAAATAATGTGGCATACAGTATAGCAGTTTTAATTTTTCTTTTAGAAATTGCTGTCATTTAGAGAAAATGTGATGTTCTGCATTCAGCAGCTTAGTATTCTGAGTTCTCAAAAAAAATGTGTGGTACATTGGAAAATATTGGACTTGAACTAGAGAGACATGGATTCAGATCTCCTTATTAGAAGATGCTCAGTTGGTCGACTTAGACAGATCATTACCTCCAAGTATTGTCTGCTTCATAGGACTGTGAGATTAGATGATCACATGTGTGCTGCCATGAACTTTTTGGAGGAAGTATGAGATACAAATATGATAAATAACTGCTGATGCATGCATGTAGAGACAGAAAATTATGTTCTCTTATTCCTAGAGTTCATGCCTTATATATTCTGTCATGTGTTTTTGCTTCTTTGTATAGTGCATATGCTATTTATTTAACAAATCGTTTGAGTAGAACAGAAATATTAAGTATATTTCTTCTTTGTAACAGCAGTTTTTCTATTTTCAATGTACATGCTTCAGAATTCAAGTTCAGTAGGGTTGCCTTTTTTGTTTATCCTTCACTATTTCTTTTAAAAGACTATATCTGTGTTGTAGTTCTTTTCATAGCACCACCCCATCCACAGGATAGCTGATTGATGGTGAGGAGAGTACAGTAGAAAAAGACAATTGTATGTTCTGGTGCCAAAGGTAGAATTTACCCTTGTAAATGTAATTCATAGTCTGTCCTCTTTTAGAGTCCTTCCTCAGTGACTCAGACTGTTATCCTTCCTTCCAGTGTAAGTTTATTAGCCCACTTCCCTGGTTTTCAAGCTTATATAGGCTTCCTTAGAAGCTTCCAGTATTTGATATGTAAGAAAAAGTCAAAAATGTTGGGTGCCCCTTCTTCACTACTGTGTGTGTTCCCCTGATTTTCTCATACTCTAAGAGGCTGTGTGAAGGTTTCATATCTATTATGTTTTTCATGGTAGAGAAGAAGCACCATCACTAGCCATTGGTATACGGAAACAATTCAGGGTGATTGTTTGGATTTGTATCAAGGGAAGAGTGTAGAAGGATGTCATTGTAGGAGGAGGCTGACATAGAGCAGCCTGTGTTGTTACTTGCCAGTGGACTCTTCCTCCACCCCACTTCCTGTCTCTAGCAATCTATTGATAACTGGTATGAAAGTTGGTGGCTTTGAGTAGAAGAACTACAGGAGGAAACAGCTTCTGAGAACTGGCCCTGAGATGGGCAATAATCATCCAAGTGCTGTTGCTGCTTTGGGTGACAAGACACAACAGGAAAGAAGTTGACCACTTAATGGAGATATGAGGGAGAGGAAGGTGCGATTGAATGGGTGCTGGGTTTAATATAGCTCTGTGACCCTGCCTGAGAATAAGAGCTCATATGGAGGAGGCTCTGGCATATATGATCCCCAAATAAGACTCAGATTAATATTGTGGATGAGTTGCATTCATCCAATTGGCAAGGGATGGGAAGTGCTTCTTGTCATTGGCCTACTTTACTGTAATCAGTACATCTTTGCAACTTGCTCTCACCTGCTATCAGAATCAATGTGGTTGTGGAAAGCTTTAGTGTGTGCACTTTGTTGGAGCATAAGAGGAAGATACCAGCCAAACATACTATAAGATTGGTAGATAGGTGATGGTATGACACAGTGGAAAGGATGGTATTGAAATTAAATAGGCCTGAATAGGTTACAGTCCCTTCATCTGCTATCCAGAAAATCTGTGGTAGCTCGGCTACCCTGCCCTGGTTATGCTGGTTGATGTGTAACAAGACCACATTAATCTATGATATAGTTGTGGATGAGGGTGAGGACCTGTCCTGTATTACTAAAATCTGGGTAGATCAGTTGTATATGGTAAGCTTGTGCTCCTTGCCCCCAAAGGTATAATGCAGAAGCTAGGATACCCGCACCAGGCTATAGATTTCTCTCTGCTAGAAGATTGGCACAGGTTGCAAAGTCATGTTCACAGTTTTGTTGTTGACACATATACAATAAATCCCCATTGCTCCTTGTAATTAGGACACTTAGCAGAATACAGTGGTGCCCCGCTTAACGACGATAATCCATTCCAGGAAAATCACTGTTAAGCGAAATCATTGCCAAGCGAAAAACCATTGAATGCATTGAAAACCAGTCAATGCGTTCCATTGGGGAAATACCTCATCGTCCAGCGAAGATTGCCCATAGAGAACCGCTGATCAGCTATTTTAAAATGCTGTCTTCCGAAGCAGGGGTCCAGAAAGCACCCATTTTGAGAAGGGAGGGAAGCCATTTCACAAAGGGAAGCCATTTTGTGGAGCCGGAAAAATCATCGTTTAGCAAACAAATGGTTCGCGAAGCAGGCTCCTAATCGACATCAAACAAAAAAACCCATTAGAACCATTGTTTTGCGATCGCAATAGAGATTGCAAAAAACTCATCGTAAAGCAATTTTGACGTCATGCTGAGTAAGTGTCAAGTGGGGCACCACTGTACTGTTTCCTATATATTCCCAGCTGGCCACTGAGAAGTTCCACTAAGGATTTACTGATTGTTCAGTTATAGAATATAATTCGGCAATATTTTGAAACTCTCTTCAATTGGTAGTTCAAAAGACAGAATTTGTGTTCTTCTTAAAATGCCAGCTGAAAACTTATTTGCTTACACAAGCATTCTTTAGCCAATAATTGTTCTCACTTCCTTATATTGATTGTTTTAATTTAATTTAATTTATTTTTGAACTTAGGTTCTTTATTTTCATACTTGCGTTCTTTACTCCTATTTTATATACTGTATTTTTCCATGTATTAGAATACTTTTCTAACACAAAATTTCTTTCTTTGAAATAAAGTGGAGGGGGAAGGCAGGAATCAAAGCGCTTTGATGATTCCTGCTTTTCCCCTCCACTTTTTACAAAGAAAGTGGAGGGGCAAAACACTTTCCTCACAAGAAAGTGGAGAGGGAAAGCAAGAATCATCAAAGTGGATTCCTGCTTTCCCTCTCTACTTTTTGCAAAGAAACTGGTGGAGGAAAGCACTTTCCTCCCAAGAAAGTGGAGTTGGAAAGCAGGAATCAAGGTGCTTTGATTATTTCTGTTCTTCTTCGTGGCCTCTGTGAATGCACACAAATGGGTTGTTCTGTGCCTGCTCAGGACGTCTTGGAAGTTTCTAGAGCTTTAGATTAGGCATCCTTCAGTCTCGAGAAACTATGGTAACGTGCTCTGTATGGAGGACTTGGAACAGCGTCTAGTGTGGTTGAGAAAGCCAATTCGAGAGTGAAAAATCCCTTCCACCCTGAAGACAGCTCCCTAGTTTTGCTGCTTTTTTGACTGCCTCTTTGCCTTGGCCTGCTGGACAAGGGTCTCCTCAAATTGGGAGAGGCCATCATGCAATGCCTGCCTCCAGGCTGAACGCTCAGATGTCAGGATTTCCCATCTGTTGAGGTCCATTCCTAAGTCCTTCAGATCCTGCTTGCAGATATCCTTGTATCGCAGCTGTGGTCTCCCTCTGGGGCGATTTCCCTGCACTAATTCTCCATACAGGAGATCTTTTGGAATCCGACCATCAGCCATTCTCACGACATGCCCAAGCCAACGTAGATGTCACTGTTTCATTAATGTATACATGCTAAAAATTCCAGCTCATTCTAGGACTTCTCTATTTGGAACTTTGTCCTGCCAG